ACTCTAACCCCCTCAAGGTACAAAACTGATCCAGAATGCCTGCTTATGAGCCCGTGTCAACAAATTCATCCTAACGCACCTTCGTGTCCCTTCCACCATTATCCCATAACCCTAAGATCCATTCCCACAAATATCCCTCAGGTCCGACCTATAATTTAACGGCAAACCAATCTTTTGGAACTCCTCATGGGTCACATTCTATACCTCCCACATTGGGGCCTGCTGGGATGATCCTTGGGGAAGGGCAGGCAATTACAGTTTGCCAGGCAAACAGAGATCAAGTTCCCCACACGGGATGGAAAAGCTACTTCTACTGGCAAAGGTAGCACAGCAGAATTTAGGTCTCCAGCTTAATCAGAATCTGACCATACGTCTCTAATCCAATTTTTAGGATCCCACTCCTTACCAATCAATGCCCTGGCTTACAAATTTAGAATTCAATTTGCATTTTTTTAGGGCAGTCACAGAAACTTTCCGGTCCCTTATGTGGAACCTGAGTAAGGAATATAAAACCCTGGGTTCATCATTTTGCAATGTAAGATTTTAACTTGGCTATACTGAACCACATTCCCCAGAATTTCCTTTCCCATTTGCTTCTGGTTTGGGTGGGTCACAAGAGACGTTCCTGCGCAGCACATGTGGCAGCACATCTGTACAGTCTGCATCCGCTGGTCTTCTGGTTCTCCTCACTGATGTCAGGCAGGGCTGGCCTTGCAAGGCTGCTGCTGCAGTGGCTCAAAAAGAATCTCATGAAAAAAATGATGCTTGAGACAAACTCTATAGAATGAACTGAAACAGGACCAAAACACAAACAAACACACCAATAACACATTCCAGGCAGAGGAACAAGAACCAGTGCCACGTGCCCTATGAAGGAGAAGGTGCTGAGCACAGAAGACAGAAGAATGACAGGCGTGGCTGGAGCAAGGGAAGGGGAGACATGTGGCCAAAGTCCCAAAGGATAAAAGTTACACGTATGCCCCTGAGATCATGTCACGAATTTCAGTACTTAAAGCAGTGGGAAGCCAATGAGAGCTTTAAGTAAAAGGGTGACATAATCAGATCTGCTTTTTTAAACTCTAAATTTCTGACACTACACAAATTTCAAACATGTTTATCTTTTACCCAAAAATCTACCTTAAACCTACACATGCACAAATACAAAACAACATATCTACAAGGTTATTCCCTGTATCAACATTTATAAGAGCAACAGAATATAAACAACCCATGTTCATCATTAAAAACTACAAGAACGTAAAAATGGAAAAGAGCTTATATAAAGCAATCTGCAGACTATACTAAGGGGAAAAAAATAACAGCATTGGAGTCTACTTTCTGTCTAAAAATGAAAAGGGAATAAAAATACGTGTCCATGCTTGTATTTGCAAAAATGAAACACTGGAAAAATAAACCAGAAATAAAAGGGGGGCACTATGGGTATGATGCAGTCAACAGCAGTGGAAGGACTATGAATATACCTTTGTAACACAGCTTTGACTTTTAAACTACATAAACATTTTACATAATAAAATTTCTAAAAATACATTAAAAACGTAATGCAACCCTTAAACCTTAAGTATTTCATACAAATAAACCAAACTAATAATCAAACTGGTAACATCATCAGAAAGAAAAATATCTTCAAGTCATTTTATAATTCAGAATGTCAACTACACACCCTTACATGGATATGTTTTAAGAACAAAAGAACTGTAATGAAATATAAGCCAGCATTCTATTATCAGTGTTTTCAAATATCATTTATATACTGCAGGACAAGGGAAGTAATGTTGCAAAGAATGCAAATTTTCAACGTTGGAGAAAAAAAGATAAACTCAAAGTAAAAACCCTGCAATGTTAAATTTAATTGAAAATACCAATACAAGGGCTCCTGGGTGCCTCAGTTGGTGAAGCGTCTGCCTTTGGTTCAGGTCATGATCCCAGGGTTCTGGGATGAAGCCCCACATTGGGCTCTCTGCTCAGTAGAGGCTCTGTTTCTCCCTCTCCCTCTGCCTCCTGCTCTGCCTACTGTGCTTTCTCTCCTTGTCAAATAAATACATCAAATCTTAAAAAAAAAAAAAAACACACAAAATCGAATTTTATGTATTTCCCGCATCTGCCCAATGAAAGTAGAGGCATACCAGTAGCAATACAGACACGAAGCACCAGATTTCAGTATCTAAATTCCATCCCCCAATAAGAGGAGCTGAAAGAACCAGCTGATCATGAAATCTTAGACATCTAGTATCAGAAAGCAAGAAATGGTTCAAAGATTAATGGGGTGGCATCCCAGGGAAGAGATCCAGCTTGAAGGGAGTGCACCATGCCCAAGTTAGGGCAAGCTGAGGAAAAAGAACAAGAACTACTTGATTAATAACACCGAAAACACAAAACTTCATCAGTCCACAGTGGTTTCAAATGAGAAAAAAGCAAAAAGGAAGAAATTCACAACCCAACTCTAGACACAGGAAAAATGGACATTCTAATCACCTGTCAGGGCCTAGAATGATTAATATTAACTAAGAAATGGGACTAGTTAATATATAAATATACATTCACATATACAACTATAAACATGGATTTGTTCTCATTTGTAGACAAACATATAGGCCACCAACAGGTACAAAAATTACATTTACGCTCTATGGATGTAACTATAAGCAAATTGAACTTGCTTTAAACAAATACAATCTAAGTTTAAAAAAAAAAGTTGTTCCATCTTTTCTTTTAGTTTTTATGTATTTATTTTAAGCAGTCTCTATACCCAAGGTGGGGTTTGAACTCATGACCCTGAGATTAAGAGTCACATGCTCTTCCAACCGAGCCAACCAGGCATGCCTGCCTTTTAAAAAATAAAAAAAATTTAAAAAACTAAAAACACAGGTTACTACAATTGAAAAGTATCTAAAATGGTATAAAAAATGCTTTAGTAGTCTCTTTACTTACACTGTCAACATTTGAATAAAACAACACCCGTGTTGAATGGATCCTTCTCCCTCCACCCCTTCTGCCTGAAAAACTCAACACAGTCAACATTGTAGTGGCTCCAGACTGATCCCCCTTGTCCCAAATGACTTCATCCACCACCACCCCCCAAGTCTGGACTACATAGAGATCCTGTGCTGGCACATTCCTTGGTCCACCTTTCATGCTGCTTAATGCCTTCCAATGGCTTTCCCCACATAGAGAAGAAACCCCAACTGCCTTGACATGGTATGCAGACCAAGTAAAACCTGGCCCCAAATTCATGCTACCCAGACCGGCCCTGACAAAGTACAGGTGGTGTCAGCAGTGGTGACCTCATCATCATTGTCGGTATCCGCAGGGCACTTACCACAAAGCCCTAGAAACTTACACTTGATAAGGTAGGTGTCATCCTGTTTAACAGATAAACACACTCTTAGAAGTAAATGTTAACATGGGGCAATCTATGGTTGGGATGCAAATCCAGGATGGTCTCAAACACCCTCTACACGTGTCTGCTGGCACTGTCCTTCCACCTGGACTTCTTTGCTCTCCTGCTCTACACTCCTGACCCTGCTAGAGCATTGCCTTCTCTTCCAGATGCCCTCAACCTGTGTATGCGTATCCTCCCTACCAGACTGGAAGGTCTCCAAGGGCACATGTTTGTGCAGTATGCCCATACGAGACTCACTGCATTAAGAACTTATGGCATTTTTAAATGCCTTAAGCACCTAATAAAGAACTAAAAATCACACTGAAGGGGCAGCCTGGGTGGCTCAGCGGTTTAGGGCTGCCTCTGGGAGACCTGGGATCGAGTTCCGCATCAGTCTTCCTGCATGGAGCCTGCTTCCCTCTGCCTGTGTCTCTGCTTCTCTCTCTCTGTGTCTCATGAATAAATAAATAAAATCTTTAAAAAAAAAAAATCACACTGAATACTAGAGCACAATGAACCAAATGGTTCACTTCAACATTGACTGCAGCAAAGTTCAAAAGCAGAAGGGAAGGAAATGAACAATGAATGGCAGCAGCTATTGCATTGCAGGACTGTGCTGGGAACCCTACAAATTCATGTAGTTCTCGAAAAAGCCTCATGTGACACGTCTCCTCCCAGTTTACAGGGAAGAAATGGCAAGTTCTAAAGAACACAAGGGGTTTGGGAAGGGGGATCAGCTGTGTGGCTTCAGATCAGGACCCAGTAGGGCTTGATTTCCACACCCAGACTCTCCAGAGCTGAAGGCCACACTCTCTCAGTGGCCAACTTCAGAGCCCAGAGCCTTTTCACAACACCACAGTGTGTGTGCCAAATTGAACAAAATACCTGGATAAAATAATTGATTCCCTCTTCCAAGTTCTTCTCATTCAAGGAACGGGGGTGGGGGTGGGGGGCCATTCAAGCATCAATAAATATTAAGAAAGTGTTTATGTAGACATGTATCAACTGCTCTGTCAGCAAATTAAGATCCTAACAGTTAAATCAAAAAAACACTCAACATCATTACTTTTAATCTGTAAATGACCGATGTGATTAATTCTTCAGAAACAGTATCTTTTCCACAAATTTTTAATGCACCAGAGAAAAAAAGGCTAACGATTAAGGAGTGCAGCAAGACAAGTTACGAGTGTGTGGGCATTCAAGTTAAGTCACTGCGAAAACACTGCTATTGCATTTCTCCACTTACAACTTCAAATTAATAATTCTCATCTGAAGACTAAAAGCCAGATTTGAGATCCTGACCACGAGATGCACAGGCATCACAAAGCACATGAAGGCGTGGGTACCGTTACCTAAAATGCACTCTGAGGACAGCAATGACCAACGTTTCACTGTTACCTGGATTTCATGGGCGCTGAAACAAAACAAAACAAAGATCTGCAGCCAACGATGGAAACGGCACAATATTTCTCAGAGCCCTTAATTGGAGGCGGTAGACTCCGACCCCAAGGGAGGACAGAACACAGCACTATTTCCCAAACTGAGGTGACCAAGGAACCCTTTGTTTCTCCAGTAGCATCTAAGACTAGTTCCGCACTACCTTCAGCAGCACCGCTTCAGATATTCCAAAACTAAGTCGGTACTGTTACTGTAGTCTGGACTGGGAACCGGAAGTACTGTGGAAGCACTACTAGCCAAATTCCTGGGATCAGCCAAAGTTTCTGGAAAAAAAAAAAAACCTGTAGGTCAAAGGTAAAGAAATGACTAGAAGGCCTTTGCTTGCCTTAGCCATTTCACAGCATCTTAACATCTACTCGCTACTCTAAATGAAAAATAAATTCTATCTCCCCACAAAAAACTAATACCTATCCATGAATTTGTGACACATACAAAGTGTGCGACGTTTACTCGCCATCCTCCAGTCTAACAAGGCTGTTCCGCGAATTCCCGGCGGTTACAACCTGGGGTGTCTGCCCACCACGCCAGGCTGGGGCAAGGCCCTGGGGCAGCCGCCCCTTCCCTCTGACCCCCGCCTGCACTGTCAGCGCCCGCCCTGGAAACACCCCCAAGCGCACGCGGGATTCTCGTCTCCTAACAAAAGCTGTGCCCTCTGCCTCCAGCTCTTCGGCCTGCAGGGCTCCTTCCAGAAGATTCCCGCAGAAGAAAGTTACAGGTGTCGGCCCACGGCGTCCCGCGCCGCCCCCCGAGGTGCCCGCCACCGCGGCCCCGGCGAGCACGGACACCCCCGAGCACCCGGCCCCGGGCCCGGCCCCGCCGCACGCAGCCGCCGCGCCAACAGCCTCGGGCGCCAACAGCCTCGGGCGCCCACCTCCCGGCCGCGGCCACCGCCGCCCCCCGAAACCGGCTCCGGGCAGGCGCGCGAGCCCACCCCGGGCACTGCGCAAGCTTCCGCGTCGTGCGGCTCATCCCCGCGCCCCGGGCGCAGCGCGCTCAAGGTCACCCGGGATGCGGGGGCGCGCGGGCGAGGGGCAGACCCCGGCCGGGGCCGGGGCCGGGGCCGGGGCCGGGGGCGCGGGGCGGGGGCGCCCCGGGCCCGCGGGAGGGACGGAGGAGGGAGGAGAACGGCCGCCCCGCCCCGCCCCTCCCCCCCCGCCCCGCCTCCGCCCGGGGGTCCCGTCCCCCGCCCCGCCCGGCGGGTTATGCAACGCTCCCGCGCCCCGCCCCCGCCGCCCCCCGCCCCCGCCCCCGCCCCCGCCGCCCAGGCCTGCGGAACAAAGCGCGGGGCCCGCGGCCCGGCGGGCAGGGCGGCCGCCATGTTGGCGGGGGCGGCGAACAAAGGCGCGCGGCCCGAGCCCGAGGCCCCCCGCCCCGCGGCCCGGCCGGCAGGGGGCGCTGTGCAGGCGCCGCCCGCGCCCGGACAATGCGCCGCGGCCCGGCCGCCGCTCCCCCGCGCCCCGCCGCCCCGCCGCGCGCCCCGCCCGCGCCCCCTCCCCGCCCCGAGCGGCGCCCGCTCCCCCGCGGCCCGCGGGTCTCACCTGCCGGCCGCCTAGGCCGCCGTCCTCAGCCCGCGGGCCCCGCCGTCCCGCGCCGCACTCCCGCCCCGGCCCGACCGAGCCAGACGGCGCCGCCCCGCCCCCGCTCCGCTCCGCGGCCGCCACCGCCCGCCCCCGGCCGCACAGCGCACGCGCACTGCGCCCGCCGACTGCGCCGGCCGCGCCGCCCGGCTCCGGCCCGACGGGCCGCACTGCGCAGGCGCCGCGGGCGGTGGGCGGGGCCCGCTGGGAGGGCGGGGCCTGGAGCACGGCGGGGCGCGGCCTGAGCCCGGACTCGGTCCCGCGACGCTCACCTGGAGGCGGGGCGGGGCCCGGCGAGGCGGCGGGAAGAGGCCTCGGAGCCGGGCTGGCTGGCGGCGGGACCGGGCCTGGCGCAACCCAGCCCGCGGCGACGCAGGTGGGGCGGGACCGGGCGCGACGGGCACTGGCGTCTGGGTGGAGCCTGGGGGCGGCGGGCGGGGCCCGGAGCTGCGCACCTGGGGGCAGGCACGGCGGGGCGGGGCGGGGCGGGGCGGGGCGCGAGGAAGTAGGACCAGGGTCCGCGGCGGGGCGGGGCCTGGTGGGTGGCCCAGCGGGGAAGGGCGCCACTCACCTGGGGGCCGGGAGGATGAGGAGGGACCGCGTGGGACCGGGCCTGGCGGTAGGGCGGGGCTTGGAGCTGCTCACCTGGGGCCGGGAGGATGGGAGGGGTCGGCGCGGGACAGGGCCTGGCGGTGGGGCGGGGCTTAGCGGTGCTCACCTGGGAGCCGGGAGGAAGAAAGGGGACGGGACGGCGCGGCGCGGGACAGGGCCTGGTAGTGGGGCGGGGCCCGGAGCTGCTCACCTGGCGGTCGGAAGGATGAGCGGGGACGGCGCGGGACGGGGCCTGGAGCTGCTCACCTGGCGGCGGGGCGGGCGAGGCGTAAGGGAGCGGGGCTGGGCCTGCTGGGCGCTGGGGCCTGGCGCGGCTCACCTGGCGGCCGGGCGGGACAGAGCAGGCGGACCCGGCGCGGCCTGGCCAGGTGGCGGCGTGGGAGGCTGGGGCGGGGCCGAGGGGCGGGGCCTGGCGCGCATCTCACCTGCCGGCGCCGGGGGCGACTGGGCGGGGCGGGACCGCAGGTGCGCGCGGGAAGGGGCGGTGTTGGGGCGCCGGAAGTCAGGCATCCTGGGAAGTTTCGTTTTCGCTCGGTGGGAGGACGCTTTCTGGTGGAGCGGCCCTCCTCCTCCTTGGATTTGAGCCGCCAGACGTCGTGCCCGCGCGCCGCCGGGGAGGATGAGGCCGGGTACGGTGGTAGGGGCGCCCGCGGGCGGAGTCGTGGCCGCCTGGACGCGGTCCGCACGCCGGGCAGGGCGCCAGCCGCCAGCGCCGGGCCGCATCGCCTCCTGCGCGCCGACCCGCCGCCGCACTGCGCCGCCGCCCCGCTCCCGGGTCCGTGTGGACCCGGGCCTCGCCCACCCCTCTGCCCTGCGGGGCGGGGGCTGGGAAAGGGGCTGTCTGCAGACCCGGGCCCCCACCCGAGCCTCCCCCACCCGCCCCCCTGCCCCGCGGAGCAGGGGAGGGGCTGTCTGCAGACCCGGGCCCCCACCCGAGCCTCCCCCACCCGCCCCCCTGCCCGGCGGAGCAGGGGAGGGGCTGTCTGCAGACCCGGGCCCCCACCCGAGCCTCCCCCACCCGCCCCCCTGCCCCGCGGAGCAGGGGAGGGGCTGTCTGCAGACCCGGGCCCCCACCCGAGCCTCCCCCACCCACCCCCCTGCCCCGCGGAGCAGGGGAGGGGCTGTCTGCAGACCCGGGCCCCCACCCGAGCCTCCCCCACCCACCCCCCTGCCCGGCGGAGCAGGGGAGGGGCTGTCTGCAGACCCGGGCCCCCACCCGAGCCTCCCCCACCCGCCCCCCTGCCCCGCGGAGCAGGGGAGGGGCTGTCTGCAGACCCGGGCCCCCACCGAGCCTCCCCACCCGCCCCCCTGCCCGGCGGAGCAGGGGAGGGGCTGTCTGCAGACCCGGGCCCCCACCCGAGCCTCCCCCACCCGCCCCCCTGCCCGGCGGAGCAGGGGAGGGGCTGTCTGCAGACCCGGGCCCCCACCCGAGCCTCCCCCACCCGCCCCCCTGCCCCGCGGAGCAGGGGAGGGGCTGTCTGCAGACCCGGGCTCCCACCCGAGCCTCCCCCACCCACCCCCCTGCCCGGCGGAGCAGGGAAGGGGATCTCTGCAGACCCGGGCCCCCACCCGAGCCTCCCCCACCCACCCCCCTGCCCCGCGGAGCAGGGAAGGGGATCTCTGCAGACCTGCGCCCCTGTACCCCGGACCCGGGCCTGGCCCACCTATCTGTGACCTTGAGAGCCTGGCCCCCACCACACATGGGAGAAGTCGACCAGCTCTTCTCTGAGATCGGGAGCCAGGCATTCCCACGGTCATTCGTGAACTCGTTTGACTCGTTTGACCCAAAATGCCCCTTGAGTATTTTGTTAGTTGTTTGCGGGAGGAAGGGGAGAGAGGAAGGCAGTGAGAACAGTTTTGACGTCTGCTGTGTTGAGTGCAGGACCTGTAGGCTGAATCCTGAGTCTAAACCCCAGCCCCCCCACCCCCGCACCCCTGGCTGGAGCTCTGCGCGCCCCCCCCCCCCACCAGCCCGGTGTCCAGCAGGTCACCGAGCAGAGGTCGTTCCTCGAGTGCAATCGACCTCTCAGAAAAACGCCTCCGCGGTGTTATCGGGTCAGATGACAGGACTTTGGAGAGCGCACTAGGCTCTGGCGCCGCACGACTGCTAGTTAGCAATGCTCTGCAGGATTTTACTGGCACCTTGTCCTCTTCTCCCAAATGAGATTGATACGTGCCTGCTCCAGCAATTAAAGCTCCTCTCAGGTGACACACTTGGCAAGACCTGGGAGTTCACAGGCCAAGTAGAGAGCCAATTTAGACACGGACAGAGAAGCAAGTCACTGTACTTAGCAGTGAGGAAGCATTGGAAAATTGTTGAATCCGTTGTGTTTAATGTTGAAGGCGCAGACGGCAGTGGAGCCGATCAGGGAGCAGAAGGGATGAGAAGGAGGCAGGTGCCAAGGAGTCTGCTGATAGGGGGCTTCAGTGTTGTCTGTCCCCTGGATTTCTCCACCTTGCCACTGTTGACATTTGAGGCTGAGTGATTCTTTTTTAAAGGAAGATGTTTGGCAGCATCCTTGGCCTCTATCCACTAGATGCCAGTAGCACACACCCTCCCCAACATTATGACGACCAGAATTGTCGCCAGACAAAGCCACATGCATTTCCCATCCTCTCCCTCTTGGAGAACCTCTGTTTTAAATTTTGCCCAAAGTAATGATCACTGGGAGCTATCAACAATGCACTGGCGGGGGAGGTGAGCCAACACCCTACGTCAGAAAGGGCCGCCCTCCCAAGTAGGCAACCACCAGTCCTTCCCTTAGAAGTATCTCCTCTCCCTCCCCTCAAAAGCCTTGCTCCTTACCGTGCTGAATGTCAGAAATGGGCATCTACATCACCAATGTAAATCTGCCAAAAAAAATTCTTAAATGAATCTGGTTGGGGGAGGAGGGGTGGAGGAGTTGGGGAGGAGAATCAGACAAATCCAGATTGAGAGACTTTGTGCGAAACAGTTCCACTGGACTTTTCAAAAACTCAGTATCAAAAAAATACACAGAAAAGCTAGGGAATCAGGCCAGACATAGAAAACCACAATCAAATCCATTACATGACCCTGATCTTACACCACTTTGAAGGAAAGAAGCTGTAAAAGATTTGGGGGACAGTTGGAAGATTTTGTATGTGGAATGCATTTCAGAGAGAGTACTGCTAAGTGATCATTGAATGTTTCAATGTCATGACATCTATTTATGAGAATACCCTCATTCTTAGGACATATGTCCTGAGTTGTTTTTTGTTGTTGTTGTTTTAAGTTTTATTTATTCATGAGAAACAGAGAGAGTCAGAGACAGAGGGAGAAACAGGTTCCTGCAGGGCATCCAATGCAGTACTCGATCCTGGGACCGCAGGATCATGAACTGAGCCAAAGGCAGATGCTCAACTGCTGAGCCACCCAAACATCCCTTGTCCTGAGTTATTTAAAGTGAAGAGTCCTAGTGGCTACAACGTATCTCAAATGGTTCAGAAACAGATGTATTTTATACAGAGATAAAGCAAATATAACAAAATGTTACCAATCAGTACATTTAAATGATGGGGATATGTGTGTTCATTGTCCCATTGAGCTTTTCAGGAAAACTGAAATTTTCCAAAATAAATTGGAAGAGTGAACCCCAGTTATGTCTTGAATTTCTAGGGTGCTAGGTCAACAGTCCCTGCCCTCTTCCAACTTGTCACGCATTTTCAGAAACTGAAATATAATAGTGTCTTTACAGTTTCTCAACCACACTTGATTTCTGGAGACTAGGTCGGAGGAGCCTGTGTATATTTTTTCCTACTGCAGGAAATTTATTGCCAGTAAACAAATAGGCATGTTAACAGTTCCAACCTCTCCTAGACCTATGTCTCTGTCTCTGTCTCTCTCTCTCTCTTTTTCTTAAGATTGTATTTGTTTGATAAAGAGATTGAGCGAGCTTGGGAGAGAGTCTTAAGCAGGCCCCACGCCCATTGCAGACCCCCAGCGCAGGCTCAATTCCACAACACTGAGCATGACCTGAGCCAAAACCAAGAGTCAGATGCTTAACCAACTGAGCCACCTAGGCGCCCCTAGGGCCATGTCTCTTCGTGCTGGGTCCCTGGGTTCCTACTTGGAGAGATGAAATTTCTGCCCGGAGATGTGTGGTATGGAGGTAGGGTGAGCTGGATCCACAGTGAACTGACCTTGATATGTTAGATGAAAACTAACCTTCAGAAGCCTTTTCAAATTAGTTATACTTATAAAATAATCCAATTATTCAACACAGCAGAAAGTATTCAATATGCATCATACACACCACGCACGGGGATAATTCTTTGTATTAGCTTCTCTAGGTGGATTAGTTTGATGGGGTACCAGTCTTCTTGTAGGTAAGGATCCTCTTTCCCTGTTGGGTACCTGGGTCATCCTCCAATTGGCCCAACAGCCTGTTCCTTCCCACCCCCCACCCCAGGTAGTGGGGGCAAAGGCTGTTGAGCTGGGCACACTCAGGGTTTTTCAGTCTCTAATATGTTGGTCCTTTCAAATGGAGCTCAGGCTGGCCCTCCCCCCCCCCCCGCCTGTGGTCCAGATTTATGGCTATGTTAATTAGGCAGCCCTAGCACGGGAATCCTGATAAGACAGTGGCCGTACTGGACAGAGACATCTGTTGTCTGCTGGTCCTGATAAGGCACCAGGGCTAAATCTCTAACTGAAAGGCACCCTGATACACACTCTGCAGAAGGATGTGTGAGGTCTAGGGCTGCCATGCAGTGCAAAGGAGACCAGAGCTTGTTTGCCAGGTCAGCAGTGGGACCAGAAAAAGGGAGAGTGATAAGGAGAGCACAGGAAGGGGCAGGGTCAGCCCTGCCTGGAACTTCTCCAGGTATTGACCCCACTCGGGGCTCCCAGAGGCCGGAGTGGGTGGGGATGCATTCTCCAGCTGCTTCTCACCCTCCTATCACCTCATCTCTTGTAAGACCCTTTCTTTCCATTCTCTGCTGTATCTGCAGACTAGAGCAGAGCGAGGAGTTCACTGAAGGTCCTGCACACCATCTGTGGTCTAGAGATGGCTTCCCCAGGTTTGCTCCACCACTTGAGTGCAGATGTTATACTTCGAGGGGAATTCATCCTCCAGGGAAGAACTCAGGTTCACGGGAGATGCTAATGCAGGCTCTGGAGGGCCACACAGTCCCAGGCCTAGACCCTGGCTGCTTACCCCTCTCCCCATACCCAGTGCTCTCCAGGGTCCACCTCAACTGTCCACTGTGAGTGGAGGGGCCTCAGACCTAGTAGATCCCACACTGAAGCTTCTTCCTGGTGGAGTGGGAGGGAGCCAGCCTGTTATAATCCTCTTTCTCCCTGGACGTCTGGCAGCAGTGGGTCAGGAAGGGCCAGG